AAGTTTCTCCCCCGAGGCTCCCCTCCCGATCTGCCCGCAGCGGCGGCGAGGATGCCGCCCGGAACCGGGAAGAGAGAGACAGCCAAGGTGGCAACGGCTTTGCTGCCAACTTGCCGAGAGGCTCCGGACTCGACTGGCGCGCAGAGCCTCCCCCGCGGGCTGGGGGCGAGGCGGGAACGGGGCCGGAGGTGGTGGAGAGGTGGGAGCGAAGGTGTGGGGCTACAGCGCTCCCAACTGGGGGCGCACTGGAGGTCAGCGGTCCGGGGAGGGGGCGTTGGGGCCGGGAGGGGGCGGAGCAGGTGAGGAGGGATGTGCTGGGGGTGCTGGGAATCACCCAGCCAGGCAGGCTCCGCTCTGGGCCAGGGAAGCTCCTGTGCTTGAGCTTCCAGAGTGGGAAAGAACCGGGGGGCTGGCGCTTCTTCCCCGGGGAAGCCCATCTCCCTGGCACAGCGCTGGCTGGCAACGAGCTCCCGGAGCCAGCCCTGCTCGCCTCGCCGGGAGCTGCCTTTGCTGGACAGAGGTGTGGTCTCCTGGCGTTCAGCCTGTCTCAGGCACGCCAGGTCCAGGCATTCCCCGGGAGCCGGAGGTCCTCCTTTAGCCCCGCGGGGACACATGGAGGCTTTGAGAGGTAGCAGGCCAGGCTTGGGGGCATGCCCAGCAATGCAGCGCACTTCTACACAGGACAGTGGTTGGGAGCCCTGGTTCGTCCCAGTTCTGCAGAAACCAACTCAAGAATCCAAAGTCATCCCAGTCTGGATGGGAGGCTCTGAGGGTGGCTGGGCAATGCTCCCGGGGCTGCGGGGCGCTCGCCCCTTCCTCTGGGCATGACTAATGGGTATTGCTGCTGCTGCTGCTGGTAGGGTGTGCACCTAGGGGGGGGCTTCCCTGCGTCCCAGGAGCTGCTTGAGCCCTCCAGACAGGACACATCCTTGAGTCACACTTGAAATGTTTTCTGGGATGGGGTGTAGGACTTCCCAAGTGGAGCCATGTGGAAAGGAAGGGAAGAGGGCAGCTCGGTGATGCTGGCTCCAATCAGGAGAGAACTCGTGTAGGAAGAGAAGCGCTGTTGGCTTTTTTACCCTGATGACTCGGGGCTGGAGACACCCAAGACTGAATTAGAGCAAATTCAGAGTCGCACTGTACCTCACTCTCAGCCACGAGGAAGGGGAGATGGAAGATGGGAACGTGGGAACATGGCGGTTGATCCAATATGGCCTTTGAGGAAGCATTTTCTCGCCCTCTGACTTGATTAAAAACATCCTTCTGGCAGCAGGTCCTAAAGTTAATTTAAGAGGCAACGAAGAGAGTTGAGGGTCTTGATGCTGGCACAGTGGAACACGGTTTGAACATTCCGGTTTCCAGTTGGTACTAATGGTCTCCGGAGAAGGTCAAAGAGCGGGCTGCTCAGTTGGAGCTGTAGCCTTCCCCTGTGCCCCATCCCTGAATATGTTGGGGGGGGGGTTGAACTCCTACAGTAGCTACTTCAGCCTGGAGATCTTTTATGGGGGCTATAATCCATATCCCCAAACCCAGCTACCCTGTGCTACAGT